GATGCCGAATATGCCAATTATTACACAAAAGAGGTTATGATTATTTTAATCCGAGAATTTCAATCACCTGACGAAGAGATGAAAAAAATTGTTCTTAAGGTTGTAAAACAATGTGCCGCTACTGATGGTGTACAACCACATTACATCAAGGAAGAAATTCTTCCCGAGTTTTTTAAAAATTTCTGGGTTCGTAGAATGGCTCTTGATCGTCGTAATTACCGTCAAGTTGTCGAAACAACGGTAGAATTGGCACAAAAGGTTGGCGTAACAGAAATTGTGGGTCGAATTGTAGAAGATCTGAAAGATGAGTCAGAACCATATAGAAAAATGGTTATGGAAACGGTTGAAAAAGTTGTAAGTCAATTAGGTGCCGCAGATATTGACACCCGTTTAGAAGAAGTATTGATTGATGGTATTTTATATGCTTTTCAAGAACAAACAGTAGAAGATATTGTAATGTTGAATGGATTTGGTACTGTGGTCAATGCTTTGGGCTTACGTGTTAAACCTTATTTGCAACAAATTACCTCTACCATTCTATGGCGCCTTAATAACAAATCTGCAAAAGTTCGGCAGCAAGCTGCTGACCTTATTTCTCGTATTGCAGTTGTTATGAAAACTTGCGGGGAAGAAAAACTTATGGGACATCTTGGGGTTGTACTTTATGAATATTTGGGAGAGGAATACCCAGAAGTACTTGGTTCTATTTTGGGAGGCCTTAAATCGATAGTTAATGTAATTGGTATGTCCAGTATGACGCCTCCAATCAAAGATCTTCTTCCAAGACTCACACCTATACTTAAAAATAGACATGAGAAAGTTCAAGAATCATGTATTGATCTTGTTGGTCGTATAGCGGATCGCGGTGCTGAATTTGTCAGTGCTAGAGAATGGATGCGCATCTGCTTTGAATTGTTGGATATGCTTAAGGCTCACAAAAAAGGTATACGTAGAGCTACTGTAAACACTTTTGGTTATATTGCGAAAGCAATTGGTCCACAAGATGTTTTAGCGACTTTATTAAATAATTTAAAAGTACAAGAGGTATGAATAATATTATTGTTGTAACGTATTAATTTGTTAAATTATTATAAGTTAATATAATTTTTTTAATAGCGTCAAAACAGAGTTTGCACGACTGTAGCTATAGGTATATATTTAGATATGAATGGTCATCATGATATTACATATATATTTATTTAACACAAATTTTCATTCTTTAGCCATCGTTGCCGAAACTTGCGCTCCTTTCACTGTTTTACCAGCATTGATGAATGAATATCGTGTTCCCGAGTTGAATGTTCAAAATGGTGTTCTTAAGGTTTTGTTATTTAAACTATGTGCTCATCTTCGCTGTTAAATTAATAATAATTTGAAAAATTAATATTTAAGAATATTATTTTATTTTAGTCACTTTCATTCTTATTTGAATATATCGGAGAGATGGGAAAAGATTATATTTACGCCGTTACACCATTATTGGAAGATGCATTGATGGACCGAGATTTAGTGCACAGACAAACTGCATGTACTACTGTAAAACGTACGTGTATACACTTATAATAAATAATAATTAGCTCAAATTATTAACAATTTATTTCTATCACAAATTATTTATAATAGATATGTCGCTTGGAGTTTTTGGATTGGGATGTGAAGATGCTCTTCTTCATTTGCTCAATTATGTTTGGCCTAATATTTTTGAAACTTCTCCTCACGTTATTAATGCCGTAATGGAAGCTATTGAAGGATTGAGAGTTGCACTCGGTCCAACTACAGTATTACAATATGTCTTGCAGGTTAGTTTAGTCATAAAACTTTTTATAAAATTTATCCAAGATTATTCGATTAAACTAAATTTTTCTTATATTTACGCTCAGGGTTTATTTCATCCTGCACGAAAGGTTCGCGAGATTTATTGGAAGATATATAATAATTTATATATAGGTGCTCAAGACGCCTTGATTCCTTATTATCCACGTATAGAAGATGATGAAAGAAATAATTATGAACGATATGAACTGTCTATGTGGCTATAAATATTATTAGGACATTTTTATTACTAACAAAACAAATTTATTAAAATGTATTTCGAATAATTATATATCAGAGTTTCGTGTTACCCAAAATCTCTAATTGATAATTCGATTTAAATAGAAATTATTAAATTTATAATGAAATATATAAAGGAGATGCATCATTTCATCTTGTGAATGATTAATTTAATGGAAAAATTTTTACAACGCCTTTATGACGCCCTTTGGAACAATATTATTAGTAAACTATACGAACCGATCTCAAGATGATTATTTTTATCCAAAATTTTGTCTTTGCCAATTTACCGAACCATTAAAAATGCAAGCACAAAGTGTTCTTATCTAAACGGTTGTATCAGCAGAATAAGTTTAAAACCCTACAACAAACACTATTATTTTCAGTAATCTTAAGTGCATATTTTATCTAACATTGTCATATCCGAAGCAAAAGATTTATAAAATATATCTAAAGAGTGTTCGATCTAAGGTCATCAGATATAACATTTAAGTCTCGAATTTCCAATTATCTTTCAAGTTACCTTTATACCGGGAACCGAGATTTCATTAACGACTTTCTTCCCAACTTCTGAAGATTATTCCATAGTGGAATCATTAGGAGGCGGACGTGAGCCAACAATAACGGGAGAGGCACTATCCCTCAATAAAAGTATTGGAGTTATCAACAAAACATGTATGATCACAGTAGGTTTCCTAGTGTACTACAAAAAAAAAAAAAAGATGACAATCATATAGTTTTAGTTGCAAAACATAAAACTTTATAATAATCAAAGATTACTGCGCCATAAAAAAATTCGAAACTTGAGAAATGATTATTGTGATTAATTGAAAACTTTTTTTGAATTTATTCCATTCCCTGCTCTGGGTTATCCTTCTATCAATACAATTTCTCTATTTTCTAAGCATTTTCTTGATATTTATTGTATATCCTACATTATACTGAAATTTGTATAGTAGATCGGTTATATATGCTAATTACATTACAAAGGATTAAAACGAGAATCCAAATCACTGCTGATGCAACCAACTTAATCTGTCCTTAGTGTCTTAGATGAATAAACCTCTCAACATACAAGCTACATTGGCATGTATTCCGCAGTTATTAATTAAGTCATTTTGTGTGGTAATACACTATATTAGTATAGAAAACAGACCTATTTTTTTTCCTAATCGGTCTTTGTACACAGTAATACAAGTCTCGTGATATTATATCGTCCCCATGAAGTTCCCGGTCAAAGATCATCTTTTTTTAGTGAGATCGGATTGCGCAAGTTAACCCGTAAAGTTGAATATAGAGTAACTCCTCCTAATCATAATTTCGTTTCGGATTATGGATTATAACACCTCACCCACCATCCATTTATTTTGTAATGGCTTGTCATTTCGGCTTTGGTGGCTTTTTGTTTGTATAAATTATCATTTAAGCTAAAATTGTGATTATATTTTTATGCGGCTCATACTGTCGCCATTTTAAGTTTGTGAAATAACTGAACCATGAAAAAAAATTCTTTCGTTCTTTTTTTTTTAAAAAAAATTTACTTTTTTTTTGATAATAAAATTTTTTATGGCGAAGGCAAATCCTGACCAGGCTTGGTTTTTATTTTATTTTCGAAATATTGTGGAGTTAAAATTTTATTTCGAAAAATACTGTAGAGTTAAATTTTACATTATTATATTTCGAAAGAATAAATTGTTAAAATTAATATTGTAATATTGTAATGAATTGGCTTTGATCGGGCTTGGGGGGTTTTTTTTTTATTAAAGAATTAAGAAAAAAAAAAGAGAAAAAAATTTTTATAGGATAAAGTTAATAGGCAAATGTGTTTGTGAAAGAAGGTATAAAAAGGGGGTGTTATTTGATAACTTGTTAAAAAATTAAAAATAATTCCTTTTATTTTTTAATTAAAAAAAGAAAGAAAAAAATGCCTGCGAAACTCTCTACCATTGCTTATGTCCATAAATCTACAGAACGTCTTACACAAGACTTCACTGTCAAAGAGATTACCACCATATCAATGATGACCCAACAAAAGTAATTTATCTAAGAATCAAAGCGTTTATCCCTTCAGACCGAGATATCGAAACACAAATCGAGGAGTTTGATACAGGGGATGTGATCTTTTTAAGGGGCAAGTTTATTACATGTGTAGGTATAATAATTTAATTTATTTTCTTTTTTCTTATCTTAATTTTCAAAAAAAAATTAACTATCTCTCCTGCTTCTTTTAAGGTAAATGCATCCATCAAAGTCTTGGGAAACCTGAATTTTGATATAATGCCATTGGTACCGGGGGGGGGGGGACAAAAATATTGCACGGCTTAAAAATAAAAATTTAAATAAATTTTTTATAAGTTACTAGCCATGTGA